TATGTACATATGTATGTATATATACATAATGTAGCAAAAAAAAATAAAAATTATAAAAAATCAACGGCACTTTAAGTCACTTTAAACTTGCCCTCCATTGTATTAGAATTAAATGGGCTAAACAACTGCGTAATTAAAAATCTTTCTAAAAAAATCGTATTATAATGCTCGAAGCTCTCACTGAAGTTTGTTGAATTTTTAAAATATTTTTGAAGTTTGAAACTGGGATTCATAAGATTTTTGTTAAAGAATGAACTATATTTTTTATAAAAGCAATAATTAAAATTAAATCAGAAATATTTTAATTGGGGAACTTATGCGTAGTGCTGCACCTATAGTTTTTACGCCGACTGTCTGTAAGCAGTCATACCGGATATGCACATACTTACATACAGCATATATATATGTAGGTAATTTCGTTGAAATATGTATGTACATACGTAAACATATTTATCAAATAAATGAATATGAATTTCTTCAAGTAGTACTGATATTTGACAGCTTCACAAACATCATTCACTGTCTTGCAACAGCTTTCACTTTACTTTCAAACCACACAGCTATTTTTCACATATACTCCCATATATGTACATATGTAGTTATATATGTATGTATGTATTTATGGCTTCCTTTCCAATGCTAGCACTCCGATTACTGCTCGCCTTATCTCTTGCATGGACTTGAAAAATGATTGCCGTTGCAGCAGGCGCATAAAATCGCCCACATTCATTGGTCGTGCGATGATATATCCACACGTACATACCAACTTACATATTTACCACCATGACAGCCGCAGTAAGTATGCAACGTTGCATGACAATGCAATATGCGCCAACGCGCTGAATTTCAAGAAAATTGAAGCAAATAAGTTGTGGGCATAAAGAATGTCGACAGTTCGTCAACAATCAAGCGGAATACGCTGGTAGTTGCCAAAAATCACCAGCACTCAAGTTGCGGTGGGAAGAGTATAAGAAAAGGGATATAAGAAATGCAGACCGGCAAGGGCAGTGTGGATAAAACACAAGTGGATATGAAATTTACGAGTTAAATGGTGTGTGCGTATCTTAAAATGCCATGCAACAGTTTGATATAATCAACGATAAACGTAAAACCAAAAATACCGAGCAAAAGAAAGCAACAAATGAAATTTTATAAATATGATGACCTGGGAAATATGAACAATTGTCTGCGTCATGGTTTGGCAGTGATTTTCATGCTCATATTTTTTTATTTCCAGTTATTTTTTATTCTTGGGAATACGAATAACTGTTGCTGTGTAGCTGAGAATGGCTTCAAATCGTTCTTAACTGAATAGAGTGTTTGTGTCATTTAAAGTCCTAGTGATTATATATTACTCACGTACGTAATAATTAGAGGATTAGGATCTATAAATAATGCTTTGATTAGACAACTCTCTTTTTAAGCACTCTATCAAGGTATATCTTCATTAAAAAATTTCCAAGTTTCGAATTATCCTTCTACGTTCCTTTATTAATGAATCAATATCCACAATGTTATCTATTGACATATCGTTGAGTACCTTCATAATTTCAACACGAAATAACTGTGGTTCCTTCTCTCGGTAAAATAAATAAACGAAATGAGAGCTCACGCATGTGATACCATATGAGAGTCTGTAGATGTTAGTATGCTTCAAAGAAAAATTTGACGCGGTTCTTTCTATGCTTTTTTTTTTATTTGGCACGCAAAAGTTTGTCGGCGTGGGATGAGACTATTGCGCAGTTGTGCCAGTTGCTCATCCAGAGTACAGATAGGTCCTTTTTCAATTTGTGGGTCCATTGTATTTAACTAGAGCATCTTCGTAAATGCGTGTGACATGCCCAAACCAGGAAAATCGTTATATTTTACTTCTATTTTGAATAGGAGCTTGTATAGTTCAACATCGTATCTAATAGAGGGCTGCATCAAACTTTTAGCCAAACAGAGTACAGTAGATTTGAATATTTTACTTCACATACAAAACACTCAGCGTTTGGAATTTTGTAAGTTATGAATATACATTTTGATATATATATTTTCAACCTTCAAATGGAAGAATGTGAATGAATGAATGGAAAACATTCAAATCTTTCAAACTCATTTCAGTAAAAGTTTTTTTCTACAAACAAGTTTTTTCGTATGAAATAGGAGCGCAGCAATACATACATACATACATTGTTTGTTTGTACATATGTGTATAGAAAAAATATTTTTGGATATTCGTACAAAAAATTGTCATTTATTTCAATTCAATTTATTTTCACTTTATTTGAATATTGTGATGTCGACAGATAGAAGTGATATCAGAACAGCTATTCACTCAAATTCAAAAAAATTTCAATCCAAAATCATTCATTCGTTTTGTATATGAATAATTCAAAACCCGTTTTGAATGCATTCATGCAGCCCTCTAGTATCTAATTACCCCAGTTCATCATTCTATAATGCCCAGACGAACAGGGCTGCCGATATTACGTACTAAAGTAGTACTTTTCAAAGCCTTTTCATCTTTTTTTGTCTCATTTAGACAAAGTGACGAGTGTTTCAATGTAGGTGTTTCCATAAAACTTTAAATCGAAAATGCAAACAAATGAGTTCAAACAGCTTTACATCTCGCATTCAAATGAAAAAAAGGTTATGAAAACGTGAAGTGGTGGATAGAAAAACTGAAAAAATTAAATCAAAAATTAAATTATATATCTTCCCTAGACACGAATAAAGGCGCGTGAGAGTTTTGACCGCAAAAAAGGCGCGTAAAAAAAAAAAATTAAAAAAAAAATCTGCACTTCAGCATCATGCCCCAAAAACTCTTTGTGGAATTTACATACTGTTACACCCGCCAACATAGTTGACCGCGAAAATAAGTTTACGTGTCTTTCTTCGCTGAAGTTCTTTTCATGCGCCTTTTTTCGCGGTCAACTTTTGATCTCGCGCCTTTATTCGTGCCTAGTGATGATATGTATTAGTGGTAAAAATTATTATATGGGGGAAAATGTTTTCACGTCCGTTACCACATTTTCATTCAAAATTAAACTAACACCGAGTTGCTTCTGATAAAAAAAAATGGTTGTAATGGTCCGTTATGTGACTTTATTTAGAGAATGTTTAAAAAAGGAAAGCCTCACAGGATTCACAGAGTTTTGGTTATTTGTACATGTGCTCTGAAACCACTTCTGTTTTGGTCACGCCCGTTTCTCCCTTTCATCGATTTTCTCGACGCCAAAGTACCCAGCGCACCTAAGTTGTTTGTCAACCAAAGAACCTTATACCGTTCTACCGCTACACAACAGACAATTTTTTTTCCATTTTTCCAGTTCCATTTTCGTATGATTTATTTAACTCTAAAGTCGTAAGAATGTCACGTCCGATACCATGGAACCATCCATATGCAAAGAGTCTTTACTTATTGCCAGGAGATACTTTGTCTTATACTCGTTCGTCGCTAGACCCACCAACCTCTTTTGCGTTTTTTTTTTTCTGAAAGAGGATGTAATTTCACATGGATTGTTCAGAGGTTGAGCAATGGGTATGCGTTTCTACTCCAAAAACCTGGTAACGATCTGCCAATCTACAAAGATCTATGCTACATTTTTGCGTGGAGGTAACAGCTACTCTTCCAATACTTAGCGCCGTTCGAGCCAAAGAAGCTACTGAATAACTTCGTAGAAAAGGAACGGTCTTTGAAAGCAATTGGATTCAAGCTAGCGACTGGTTAACTACTTAGCGATTTCAAAGACACTGTCTACTTGATTCCGGCGCTTGGAAATGAGAGCGCGCCTTCTAATGAGATTGAAGGATAAACACATCATTTATCAAAATCAGTACTATAATCGAAAGGACTAATCATTTAGAGTCACGTATTTTACTAGCTTCAAAGAAATAGCTATTGGATCGCTAAAGTTTTTTTGGTTCAGCTGGATATCACCTTGATTACTTCATGTAACTGTGGTTAGAAGAATGTGACAGCTCCCGACACTCACAGGGAAAACCCAACCCAACCCAACTTACACCTCCTTCGTACCATCGTTTCCTCTCCTTTTTCACAAGGCTGTAACTAGCATTTCTATTTCTCAGATTGTCAGGCATAATAGCTCGATTTTTTTGCCTAATAATTTAGTTAAAAACCCATTTTTCCCTAATCTTTAGTTGAGATTTCGAGATATAAAAGAATTGTATGTATTATAAAAATCTATGTGTAAAAGCCCTTAATTTGATTATTTTGCAGTACAACAGTGCGTATACGTAATGCAATGTGTTTCAAATACATACTGGTCTATATGAGTGACCACCGGAGTGGTCCAAAAACAATAAAGTCGGAATTTTAATGCCGCCACCCCCTGGCATTATTCTGAACCGAAAAAAATATAGCCCTATTTTTTCATTTTGAAATCAAAAAATATTTAGGGAGTGCTCACAGCGCTCAAAATTTTCCATGTATTTTATATGGGGAAACCATATTTTGCGGTCTGAAAATTGTGGTTTTCTTCAGGAGACTTCCAATATTTATTACAATTGTTTATTTAATCATTTTTTAATATTAAAGACTTTTTATTGTTCCCCCTATTGCGTTTTCTGGGGGCTTTGGGGGACCTATAAAATATTGTTACCTTGAAAAAATGGTTAAACAAACAATCGGGTCTTATTACTGGTAATCTCGTGAAGATAAGAAAAGTTTTCCGATCGAAAAATATTGATTTTCCAGAATTCTACACTATTTCTACGAAAAGTAGTTTTTCCCCCATGTAAAATAGTACATGGAAAACTTTGAGCGCTTTAAGCACTCCACAATTTTTTTTTTTATTTCAAAACAAAAAAATAAGAGCATATTTTCTTTCAGTATAGAAGAATCCTAGGGGGTGGTGGCATTAAAAATCCATCCTTATTTTTTTCACATATATTTTTGGACCACTTTAGTGTCCATACAGGCGCTCAAAATATGTACTTTTATTAGATGACGTAATGGAATTTAACTTCAAAATTGTTTTTCTTTTCTCACCCAGGTTGATCTACGCCATCTTAAACAAACAGCCGATTCGGACAACATCGAAGTGGGCATCGATCTGCAAGACTACTACATCTCGGTGGAGTGGGACATAATGCGCGTGCCTGCCGTTCGCAATGAGAAATTCTATAGTTGTTGTGAGGAGCCCTATCTCGATATCGTTTTCAATCTGACGTTACGTCGAAAAACACTTTTCTACACTGTCAATCTTATCATTCCATGTGTGGGTATCTCATTCCTATCGGTGTTGGTCTTCTATTTGCCCAGCGATTCCGGCGAGAAGATCTCACTCTGTATCAGCATTTTGCTATCGTTGACTGTGTTTTTTCTCCTGCTCGCTGAAATCATTCCGCCAACATCGCTGACGGTGCCGCTGTTGGGCAAATATTTGCTATTCACTATGATGTTGGTGACATTGTCGGTTGTGGTTACCATTGCGGTGCTAAATGTTAACTTTAGGTGAGTGCGAAGAGCAAGCAAAACAAACAAAATTTTCACAATTTATTAATTTGTTCGAAACATTTTTAGTAAGGATTTTTTTGTTTCTATTTCCTGCATTCCTTTTTAACTTTAGATCGCCTGTGACGCATAAAATGGCGCCATGGGTACAACGTTTATTTATACAAATTTTACCTAAACTCCTTTGCATCGAACGACCGAAAAAGGAGGACCCCAATGAGGACGACCAACCGCCCGAAGTGCTAACCGATGTGTTCCATTTGCCACCCGATGTGGATAAGTTTGTGAATTACGATTCCAAACGATTTAGTGGCGACTACGGTATACCAGGTAAGAAAAAATTATTCGCCCAATTTGTGGTTTAAATGAAAAATTATCAAACGGTATGATATAGTATGGTGGTAATTCAACTTTTATGCCAGCTACATGTCGGTAGACTTCGGCGGTAACTACACAACGCAAAATTATAAAAAAAAAAACCAAAACCGCTAATACTGTTAAGATTCTCACGTTTTTTATCCTTGTCTAATCCTGGTATTATCCTTACTTAAGTAAGTAGCAAGGCTCATAAAAAAGGTGTTTGTTTTGAGTGGTTCCGTTATTGCAGCGGATAATCGCAATTTACACATTATATATTGCATCATACGAACAGATCTACACATATTTTAACACGCTAACATAAATTTTGTCCACGGGTCTACTAGACCGATTTTAGGACCAAACCCTACATTGGAAAGATATTTTCTGTAGATGAGAGGTTTATGGCTTTAAATGGATTAAAACATATGGCTGCAATCCCTTGTCAAAATTTCCGTATTTGTGTAGGTTTTGTAGCAAGCTCTTCAGGTTGAGTTATATTTCGTTTGCTAACCACGTATTATTTTCGCATTTTCTTTTGCTTCATATTTTTTTTTTTACACTATGACGAACTCGATGGCGAAGACAAATACGAATACGAAAACGCGAAGGTTAACCGAAGACCAATACGACGATTAAGACATACACGAATACAATGACGAACACGAATTCGAATAAGAATGCAAAGACGAGTACAAAGCCGAACTACGTAGACGAACTGAATGCAATCACCAATAAGATGACAAATGCGGATAAGAATAGGATCCGAAGACAAAAACGGATGTGGAGCTGAATTCTAAGACGGACACGAAGATGAATATGAAGACAACTACGGAGACGAATTCGGCGACGAAGACAAATACGAAGACGAACACGACGAAGAAGACCAAGGAGAATACGAAAACCAAGCGAATACGAATAGGAAAACGAATTCGAAAGCGTCTGCGAAGTCAAATGCAAAGCTCAGTATGTGAATACAAAAACGAATGCGAAGAGCAACCGAAGACGAATAAAAGGACGAATGGGAAAATGAGCACGAGTACGAATACGAACATCAATACGAAGACGAATGACATGACGAACATGAACGCGTTTAGGAAAGAGAGAGGTGAATACTAATACGAAGACAAAGTCGAATATGAAAACGAAGACGAATACGAATACGAAAAGTAATACAAAGACGAATAAAAAGACGAACACGAACACAAGGACGAATACGAAGATGAACACGAGTACGAATACGAATATGAATTCGAAGGCGAAAAGTAATACGAAGACGAATAAAAAGACGAACACAAACGTGAAGACGCCCTGCAGCAAAATTTAGGGACAGTCTGGCAAAGCGCTAGTTCCGCCCCACAAATTTCAGAACTGTCTCTGAACTACTGCAAAAGGGATGCAGAGCTGGACGGTTGAAACTCATATGTTGCTAGTTGCGCTGTCATCAATGTTACTCATCCTGGTCATGTGAAAGCTGACAAGAGATGCTATACTATATTTTTTCGATTTTTTAGTCCCTAAAACTAATAGCAAACTGTTTTCGTTTATTTAATATGTAATTCTCTACATAGTTTATGCGGCAACTGCTAAAATATTTCCAAAAAAGTCGTTACTGGTATCATTAATGTAATTTTTATACATATCTACGCACATATAAAATCGAATGCAAAATACAAAATTTAGTTAAGCTACACTTAACAGCAAAGGTCTGCATACGCCACACAGTGTTTCGACTATATGGAGGCAGATGGAAATAATAGTACACCTGCACCGATTTCACTGAAACTTGACATGTGCTCTAGTTTTACTTAGAAATAGAGAATTATGAAATTTTGTAAAGATGCCACGCCCTCTACTCTTGTGGGCAGAAACATTAAATCTCATGCGATTTCGATGAAATTTAGTTTGTAGTCTTTATTTTATTAGAAAAACCTAAATGTAAAATATGGGGAAGATTGGATTACTATAACGTTCAAAACTCAAAAAAAATATGGGCCCAGTCATTAAATGTGATAGAATTTTGGGTAACTTTTGTTTCCTGCTTTCCACTCTCAGAAAACAAAGGTTATACAATAAAATGACTTAGGTGTCAATACTCGCTTTTTCCCAATATCTGGTGGGATTTTTTCATTGTTTGAAAAATTCTTTTCGCTAAATTATGCAAAAAGAAGCTGAAAATCAAAAATTAAGAAAATCAAAAATTACATATATTTGCAAAGTCGCGCGCAAAGATCAAATTATATATTCGAAAACTACATAAAATTCTCTAAAATATTACTCAAATTTCAAGACCTGACGGACCGGTACTCACTCTTTTTTACTAATAATCTTTATAATCTACATTTTAAAGTAAATTTGTTGGTAAGGAAATAGGAAAATACCAAATAAATGATAAATACCTTCACCTGAATATTCCACGACATTTAGATAATTAATTACAATTGAAAAAGAAACACTTTCTGTAATGGGTTCAGCGCCAAATGCAACTAAACTGATTAGTCGGTATCGCGCCCATTCCCGTATTTTTTTGGAAATGTATCGTTCGTGAAGAAGGGGGGTGAGTAAATAATGTAAAATTTGGTACTTATGACTTTTACTATTCCCTCTCTAAGTCAAACCGGTTTTTTTACCAACTGTCACCATGACTTTTTTCTACCTGCCTCCATATATTCGAAACACTGTGCGCCATTTCCTTTTTAAATATTCACAATATATTTAGAGTTAAAATTTGTTTGTTATTATTTTATAAAACAAATCATGATGCTTGAAACAAAATCATATAAACCGTGTTTTAAAACTTTATATAAAACCAAGTTAAATTTAACGATTTTTCATCAAAATTTTTTACCTTTTAATCAGATTTAAAAAAAAAATAAACAAAAGTGGTAAACAATCTCACTTTGAAATGGGGGTGCTATTGTTATGAACGATACTGAATATTCGTAAATATATGTATATGAGCACCCGAAATGTGTAGTTATGCAGTGATTTTTTTTTTAATTTCAAAGGCTTTTCATTTTAAATACTTTTCGTTAAGTTTTTATTGAAATACTATTTGTCATGCTCGATAAGCAATTTAAATTCAAATTCCTAACTGTGCTACAAATTTGATAGAACTCTAAAAACTATCTTAAAATTTAAAACTTTTTAATCAGAGATTTTTTTTTATTATAACTATTTCGAGTATTCAAATTTTAGTGTAGTAAAGTGTAATCTTGCATCTTAAACGAAAATATTTAAATTGGAGAATACCTTCAAGAGCGTGCGTAAAAAGTGTTACATTAAATCAGCGCGATTAATTATACTAAAATTTAATGGCTTATAGAACTGCATACTTATAAACTCTGATTTAAAATATTGAAGTTTTTATAATAGTTTCTAGAATTCTACTAAATTACCAACACAGTTAGAAACGTGAATTTATTTGTTTATGTTATAATACTTATGAGCCATCCTTAAATAAAAAATTTACGAAAAATATTTAGCATGAAAATCATTGTGAATATTTAAAATTCTGTATGTTCTTATTAGATGCAGGGGAGTCTATGTATTACATTTCAATACACTTAATACAATTTAACGCTGAGCTTTCACAAATAAGCATTCAATATATCACCGTTTTTCTCATTTTTTTACACGATTTAGTTTAGATTTTTAATTATAAGTATCCCAGAAATACCCATTATACGTAACAAATATAAATTATTTTTACGAATAACAAAAAAAAAGGAATAATTGACACTTTATGTTCCTAATTTTAAAGCACAGTTTGCCTCAAAAAGAAAATTAGTGCAAATCAAATAGCTCTTTAAACATAAAATGAAGTATACATTTTTTATTTACAAAATTGTATGCGTGCTTATTTAAAGAAAAGGCTCTGTACTATACTTCTTAGAACCAGCTCAAAACTAACCAAATTATTTCTAGTTCGGAGGTAACTCTTTTTTTAACTATCTAGGAACTGTTGGTATATGAACTGTATCAGAGCCATCTAAGCCAGAGTCAGCTCAGAACAAGTTCAAAAGTTCTGCAGAGGGCGACAATTGTCATTTCGTAGGACATCGCCATGTTAAAAAAGACAGTTGAAAGCATTGAGTTGAGATAGATGAAGAACCAGTACCGTCCCTTTTCAGGCTAGCTCAGCTCAAGTTCTGAACCAGTTTGATTTGCTGCAGGGCGGAGATCAATACAAATACGAAGACAAAGGCGAACAGCAAAATATCTAATGTATATGGCTGGACTGTTTCTCGATTCTGCATATACAAACAATTTAAATACCGCAGTAGAACAGTATACAAACCTTGTATTGGTACGTGTTTTGTAAGAGAAATGAAAAATAGTAGGGAAGACAATTTGAAAGGTTTTGTTTATTTTGGACTGAAAGTCTTACAAAAAAGCTTCGTCCAACATTTATCGTGAAGTGCTGCTTTGACTGAATGAACTTGCATATCATTTTGCTCGCGCTGCTCCAACAGTCGTAATGGCAGAGTGAGCAAGGCGCTGATGGGTAATTCAGTGGATCCGAGGTTTGTGTCCGCGGGGAACGCGTCTAAAATTTTATTATTTTAAACAAAAATATATATATTTTAATTTCATTTAATTCTCAGAAACATATTTTTTTTATTTTTTGTCTATATGTATATATGTATTTAGATTTTTTTTTTTGTCAATTAAAGTTTAAGATTTTACTTAAAAAAGTATACATATTGATTTTAAGTTAAATTATTATCTTTTTTTTTTTAATTAAAATTTTATTGATTTCAAAACCAATTTTTTTATTCATTTAGTATTTATAGACTCTTTCGTTTTAGAAAGAAAATATATATTTTTTTTATTTTATGAAATTTTTATTTTATGTGTTTTCGTTCTTCGGTTAAATTTTTTATATTTAAACTAAATTTTCGGAATTTATTATTTTAAAAAGAAAAATATGTGTGTTTTAAACTTAATTTAATTTTAAAGAACTTTTTTTA